TCAACACATATCGACCCTAAATATAGCATATATTAAGAACGAGAAAGTGTTAACATCGTTTTTTGTAAACATATGACCAATGTGCGAGGGTGATGACATCAGAGCATCGTCCTATGGGCTTAGCCCCGGACAGGTACAACAGGTATTCACTCAGAGGGGGGTAGTTACCCATTTACATGTCAAAAAGCAACAAACAGTGGGCGGGTGGGGGATGGTGAACGTTTACATTTATCTACAGAATACATTTAATTTAAGGGGAGCAGTTACTGAGAAGTATATAATGAGAACTGCTACCAATGGTGGCCTATTTAGTTTATTAAGAAATACATATTTGTAGCTTTTTTTTAATCTGCAGTAGGAAATGCAGAGAGTAGCGACAGGCCTGGTCCAACCTCATCTGTAAAGTGATCTAACTAAGTGCTATTCATTTTCTTGACGGGGAAGTGCAGTGTAAATGGGGGGCTTATATGCATTTGAAAAGCAATATAAATCACACAGTTCGTATACAATAGGCATTAAAAGCACCATCGATAACCATTGCCCTTCTCCTATTCAAACCAAAAGAGAAAATGCAGATATTACACTCTGAAAAGAAAGGGTAGACATATCTGTACTCTTAGTGCCAAGTAGCTAAGATATTCATTCGCAGAAATGTAAAGTGATCTATCTAAGTTCTATTCATATTCTTGACGGGAAGAGTTTGTATACAATAGAGTTAGAGTTAGTATACTTTAAAAGCCTTCTCCAAATCAAACCAAGATATCTTGGGTATTCACTCAGAGGGGGGTCGGTGAACCGGGCAGAGTTTTTCGCCGGTCAACGTGTGTGAAAGTTTAAAGTTCAATCTTCCTTATTGAGCTTTATAATAAATTATTTATAACTAGTTTAGGTTGTTTGAGAGGTACAGCTACCATTCTTTAATTAGATGTTTGATAAGTGCATGCAGATCACATAAAACACGTACACAGATGCATTATTTTACCCATATATTACCCATCATCTTGATAAAACATGAACTTTTCTTGTTATCATTTTTATTGTGTTAACAATTAAGTTAACAGGTATTCACTCAGAGGGGGGTCGGCTTCATAGTTGTATTTATCATCTAAATTTGCCGAAACAAGTTTAATATTCTGAAAGCCAAGACTTTGTTTATTTGAAATCAGATGAAAACAAACTGTAACGGCCCATTTTATTCATATTCCGAGTCATAAAGACTTTATTTAAAATAAACATTTATAACTAGTTTAGGTTGTTTGAGAGGTACAGCTACCATTCTTTAATTAGATGTTTGATAAGTGCATGCAGATCACATAAAACACGTACACAGATGCATTATTTTGTATTTTTATTAAATTCGACAATGTCAATTTCACTTTCCACTATGTCCACCGTTGTTTTTCACAACCAATGGCAGAACTTTATTGAGGCCTGTAATTAGTCAACTACAGGTCTCTTGGGTCAGTCTTTTTCTTCCAAAAAGCTTGTGACAAGATGTTATTGCTCTTGGGGCATTAAAAACAAGATTTTAACTTTAGTTTTTTATATAATATCTGCATTGTCTCTTGTGAAAAACTAAGTCTTAGTTTGGCCATAGTTATTTAATATATAGCGCCATCTCCTGGTTAAACCCTGAAATTGGAGAATAGTGGGAGGGCCTAACATTCCTGAATACTGGTCTTTGGCAGGTCTTACGCAGGTAACTGGATGGCAGTAGGCAGGAAGCTGTATGCTGGGGTCCAAAATAAGAGGCTCCATCTGTAGTTGCGTGTTTTTCATAGTCTTATATTTCAACAGTTTTACGACAAACTGTGACTTTTTTGACATGGAAATTATTATTTAAGATTGACAAACATCATATGTGTAATTTGTGGCACAATTCAAACGGGATCGAAAGATAATCTTTCTCTCCCCATTGACTTCAATGCATAATTTTTCCGAATAAGGTCCCATGGGGCGGAAGTAGAAGGGCGGGACTTCGCCTCTCTATATCAAGCCACACGTATTGTTTTTACTTCGGCTGTGAGTGTTTGTGTGTGCTCAGGATGAGTTTCGCTTGTTCTCGCTGTATTTGTTTCGCCGACACGGAAGCCCTGTCTACTCCTCACAGCAGCTCCTCACGAGCAGCTGCACGTCGCGTGACCAATCAGAGCTCCAACAAGCCTTTTAGGACAGAGAGTGAATACCGGTGAATGCACATACTTTACAGAGATGCTGTATGAGAAACCAATGTGAGTTTGGAAAATTGCACGGTATAAATCTATTTTAGTATACCTCAACAATGGAATTGTGATCAGTAGAAATGGCCATGACATGGGACCTTTAAGCCCCACCTCCAATCTGCTCTTTTACGTCTCAGGTATTTGAAGGAGAGGGAAAATAGCTTTAGATTTTGGCTATTTGCGCATTTCACAACTTTTAAGATCTCATGATTAAGAGCTATTCAAGTGTTCGGTAGTTGATAAGCCCCAGAAAAAATATATGCTGATTTAGAGACATCTCTCTCTGACTGTATGTCAATGGGAAAAAGTATTTTTGGGTCCAATGACTTAACAGACTGACAGGGGAGTTGAGGTGTGAGGTGCATGAGTTGAAACAGACATAGTGGCCTAATTCCAAACCACACCTTACCCACTCCCCCTCCGTGATGGAGTGAACTCCGTCTGTAGTTGCACTCACAGCTGAATGAGGCTCCTTCTTTCAGATGGATGGTGTTAATACAGCAACAAGCTTTGGGACAAACTCCCCTCTCTCTGGCAGAAACAGGAAATGCTGTAACTTTTCGTAACAATGGTTTAAAATCAGCATCTCTCGGACAAAAGATAATTAATAATAACTAAAACAAAACTGAAAAAATCTTTAAAGGCGTTCTTTTTTGTAGATCTCTTTTTTTCAAATCTGATGTTTATAAGCTGCTTGGTTTTTGCAACAGTCCCTGTAAATATACACAACTTTATAATTAAATTCACAAGTTTACCGTTTTCTACACTAGACACGGGTATATGATCCTGAATAAAATAAAAAACGAGGTAACTTCTGTATCACAGTATTTAATGTGTATCTTCTTTAACCAGGGTCCCCGCGGATCCTTAAAAAGTCTTAAAAGTCTTACATTTATTTTTTGATATTCAAGGTCTAAAGATTTCTTTAAACGTCTGTAATTTTAGGAGGGGAGGTATTACATTTGATCTGGGGCAGAATGAATGAGTGTGTCTATTTCTTGTTAAATTTGTATGTTTTATTTTACCGGTAACGTTATTTTATATCCTGCAACGTCCAATACCTATTTGTTTTGTACGTGAAATAGGTAGGCGAGAGCACACTCCGCTTAGTAGGTGGCGGTAGAACGCCTCGTGTTAAGGTAGAAGAAGAACGTGTTTATCCAGCTTCAGATTTGAAGGCTGCCGCGGACAAAAAGGAACACAACGCTGAGAACAGGTTTAACAATGGGTAAATTCAAATGTAATGACAAGTGGTTGGGGGACGGCAAGTATCGTGGCTGTCTGAAACCGTCCAGCTCCTATGAGGCGCAATGCGAACTTTCTCGGAAAATCTTCAAACTTGGCACAATTAGGATCCAAAGCATTAGATTCGCACATGAGATCGGAAAAACACAAGTGCTATGCTGGTACTCAAAGGAGTACAATGCCCATTGAGTCGTTCGCTAGCGCTACTTCTTGTTTGGCTGTTACAACAACTAATATATCCGCTCTGGCAAAGTCTTCAGTGCCCACTTCAAGTCAGACAGCATTCAACTCTTTTTCACCCACAGCCACGTTGAAGGCAGAAGTGCTGTGGATTTTTCATACAGTTAATCGTCACCAGTCATACATAAAAAAAAAATTTTGTTAATGCGAAAGCAGTCATGTTGGGTAATGTGCACTGAATATTTCCTGTTATTCAAATGCAACAAAACTCAGTAACGGTTTATACTGTTGTCTAAATCATCGATTTTTTTGTATTGGTATTATTTTTTCCTTTTAGAGGTCATAAAAAGGTCTTAAAACTCATCAAATGTGTACTTAAAAAATGTGCAGATACGCTGTTTAACACAGTTTACCAGTAGCCTGAATAGAATTTATATTATGTGACGTGATTTTTGAAGACCCCCATCACCCCAGCAACAAACTGTTCTGTATGCTGCCGTCTGGCAGGGGCTACTGCAGCATCCGGACAAATACCACCAGACTCAGGGACAGTTTCATCCCACACCTTTTTTTTAAAATTAGTTTTATAGTTTTATGTCTTATACAGTATATATGTATGTAGCATTGTTGGAGGAGCCTGGGATTTAGGATTTTCATTGGCGTAACTACACTCTAGCTACTGTGCATATGACAATAAAGCCTTAAGTCTTGAATCACTGACACCAACACCAAGCCAACCATGGTTTGAATTGAGATAAGGGGCTGTTTTTTTTATAAAATTGAATTAATTGATTTAACCGTAAGATCCGAGAAAGAATACATGTATTTATTAGAGCCCTGACAACAGAACAACCCTGTATTAGCTTCATGTTTTAAACAAATCAGAGACTCAGGATTTGAAATTTTCAGGAAAACATTCACAAACAATTCTTTAACTTTTCTTTAATAAGTCATTCAAATTCAAAAGTATGTTTATGACAACACATTTTAGTTTGACTAATACATTTTTTTTTTTAAATCTAAAACTGCACCCCAGACATTTTGTTGTCAAACCCTTTTATTTGTTCAGGGTTGTTCAACCACGACTTAATTTAAAATAAGTTGCAAACTTTGTATTTTTTCCTCAGACTGAAGACCTTTCACAATGACAAACGTGTAATGTTTACTGCGGCACGACGTGGATACTTTGCTGTGACATTATCGGCGGTGTTCAGTCCATGAAGGTGACGAGTTTGCCCGAGTGATTTTAGTAATAGATACGTGGTGAAGGATCATGATAATTCTGATACATTTTACAAAGAAAGCAATGTCCATTCTGAAGCAAACTCTTCAGGAAAAGAATGAACATAACAATTGAATCAAAAATATTTATTTACACAGGACATTCTCAACCTCACCATTATAAAACTAATAATTCAAAACACATAGACGTGTATGCTTATATATATTTCTTTCCAGATGAGAGCATTGAAGCATAACATTCTGTGAGACCATTCAGTATGTGTATGTGCATATAACAACGTGCCAGAACGCTTATTATGTGTATACTACTAAAATAAACAACTAGGTAAGTGCTCTTAGTACGACTCGTAACTGTTACACATCCATCCCCCAAAAATATATATTTTAATCATCCCAAAATGAAAATAAACTGTCGCAATGAAACAAATCAACCAAAAAAAAGTCAGTAGTCAGTGGCGACATCATTCAGTCAACAAAAACGTTATTCAAATGTTGTAAATCACAGCAACCCTTGTAATTTCTAAGCATAAAGTCATAAATGAGCACAAAGACTATGAGGCTGATTGGTCGGTAGTATGCAACATTAGTAGAAAACCACAGGCATGCACTCACGCAATCAATGCGCTCATAATGATCCACAGGTGGACATAAAAAACAATATATAATATTTGTAAAACCAAGGTCTAAAATTGGTTCCGGTTGTTGCTGTTGTAAATATTTGTTTGTTTTTGTTTGTGAAGTTGTAAAAAGGACGGAACTTGGTGGAGTTGCATGTTCGTCCTGGTCTGAATCACAAGGCTAAAACACAATATACACTTCGCTTTGTTTAACATTTTTAGACATGGGTCGGCACTTCTGAGTGCCATCGTAGTTCATGTAAAACAAGTCTGTTATTGATTTTATTCTCCTTATGCTTCGCCGGCTCTCAGGTATAACTTCAATTTAAATTACGAGAGCCACCAATTTGGCGTTTGCCAGCTAGCTAACATTCGCTAGCTAGCTTGATGGGTAGCCAAGGTAAGCTAGCTAACTAGATAGATATAGTGTACGTTGGCTAGCTTTATTTACAGATATATATATATATATAGATAGATAGATAGATAGATAGAGAGTCAGACGGACGGATGGATAGAGAGATAGATTATGTTCACAAGCTAAATAGAAAACGTTCCCTGCTGATATGTTTCGGTACTTTTCATAGTTCCTCATAGCAGGTGCCGTCTATAACACAAGACTCTAAACAGATTTTGGGCCGTTGTCATGCATCATCCGCCAGTCACTAACAGAGGATGGATGTCGAACTGAAAAACCATGCAATCATCGCAGAGTAGCTGTAAATGATCTCTAATCAAATCTATTGTTTTAATGCTGCTAGTGCTAAACCAGAAGAACTAAGACATAAGCGTTTGAACCAGATAAAGTCAATAAGTAGTGTGCCCATGTTGAAATCAATCCTTGAAGGGAGACCACATGAGACAATGTGGATAGAGTTTTCCTCATTGGCATCGAGGATAGGGTTCTCAAAGGTTGTGCTACGGTTCTCTCCCATCCTTCACTCCAGCACTTAAGAAACCCAGCTTGCCAGAACCCAACTACTACCAACCAATCACACTCCAATTGTCATAAAATGCCTAGAAAAGGCCCAAACTTGTTGTTAGTAAGCAAGATAAAGATTCCTTCTGCTGGTTTTACACTGCTTCACACAACTGGTAGCAGGATCATTTAAGTCACGTATGCCAATTAAAGGCATGAGGAAGAATGTCAGCACCCAACTACAAAATCTTATGAGGTTAGTAAATGGACACGTTTAATAGGCATCAAAATACAAACTATGTATTTTGCTATGAAAGAGTGAATGTAAACTCCACATGGTGACTTAAGAGACTCAAATGTTGTCTTCTTTAACAGACATCCATCATCGATACATACTATCAGGGCCGGTACTGAAGTGTGCCAGTCGGATGATGTGGGCCGGTCAGATAAGTCACTAGCACCCCCGTCCCCCGTCCGTCCCCCTGTCGACAATTTACTAACGGTATTTACTTGCGGTACCGAGGTGGGCCTGTCCGCCCCTGCATACTATACTGACTCATAACATGTCAGGGAAAGGGGCGGACAACGACTTCATTTCTGTCTCATTCAGGGAACGTTCTTCTTTTGTTTTGGGACCAACAGGATCACTAACAGGACGCCACAGCACCAACAGACGCTGTTAAGGACAGAACAAATTGACAAAAGACAAACAGAATAATATTGAAAACCAATAATAAAGCAGAAAAACTGTAAGCGGGTTGTGTTGGTGCTCTTACTTGTCTGAAAGAGCCCTCTGTGAAGTAGATCTTGCTGACAGCCCAGATGGGTATTGTGACCACAGAGGAGATGGCTATGGCCCAGCCCAGGTTGTAGGCCCAGTTTGGGTACACAGAGCCGTCGCTTGTTTTCAGAGGCTGGAAATCCAGAAAGAAGCCGATGAAGCAAACCTTGAAGGAAAAGCAGAGGAAAACAAATCATTGTTCTGTGGAATATTTTGACACAGTCTACCAACATTTAGGTAGGTATTCCTCCCTTTGAAACATACATCCCTGTTTTAACAAATTAGAGGTAGCCCAAATAGGCAGTACGATCCAAGGGGGCTAAGCTAGTCTGCCATACAACAGTGGTGATATATTGTCAAGATTTAGTTGTCATAGAAACATTTCTTATTATTATTATTCAAATATCTTTATTGATTTTCCACATATAACAAACAGCAGCGCTCAACAATCAAAAATACAGCACACACAGAAAGTTTACAAAATATCAATTGACATCCAGAAGAGATACAAAATATGCATATAGAAAATAAACATAAATTATTAAATTAAAAACTACATGGTTAAATAACCAAAAGTAAAAAGTAAAACATAAATGAATAAAAAACAATGTGGGGTGGGGGGGGGGGGGGGGTTGGCTACGTTGTTTTAATGTTAGAGAATTTGTTCTCAAAGTAGGACAGAAATGGTTGCCAGACCTTATAGTACTTTGCGATAGAGCCCCGGGTAGTGTGCTTTAGTTGCTCAAGTTTAAGATGGGACATTACTTCCTCTACCCAGCGCTTATGAGACGGCGGTGCAGCCTTCTTCCAACTAAAGAGTATCAGACGTCTAGCAAGTAGGGTAGAGAATGCCACAGCCTCAGCCTGATCAGTTGTTATTCGTGTCTCCTGTGTGACCATGCCAAATAATGCAGTCAATGGGTTTGCATCCACAGCCGTGTTACACATGTCCAAAAAGGTTTTAAATATACCAGAGCCAAAACATGTGATTTAGGCTGGCCGGGTCCCGACTGCACCTGATGCAGGTTGGGTCTAAACCTGGGTAAAATGTGGCCAGTTTACTTGCAGATAGATGTAACCTATGCAAAACCTTAAATTGTAGCAGCCCATGTCTAATACACATTGAGGATGAGTGGACAAATTGAATTGCTGCCTGCCAAATAGTATCTGATATAGTTATTCCCAGCTCTTCCTCCCATTGCCTCATTAAGTGATTAACCTGTTAAGCACTGAGCCTGTTTTTCAGGTCTCAGGCTCGAAAATGACATTCCCAGAACAAATGACCATATCTTCCCTTCTAAAAGGGTTAAATTAATAATCTTTATTCTCAAAGTAATGATAAACCTGTGAGTTGGATGTAGAAAAGTCAGAATCAATATAGATGTTTTTTATTTTAAAGAAAATTCTGATTTTACATAGTAAAAAACTGTAAATTATAGTGTCCGTCCACATATTATTTTTTACTTATAGTGAAAACTACCCTTGGATGATGGGTTAGTAGACTAAGCTTTAGGAACCCAAAGTACAAAATATAATAAGTACCCTGTATCAAGATTGATGCAAAACAAGTGAAAGTTGACCTTTTTAGAGAGTTTTAGCCAAAAAAAAACACTTCTGGGGTCATTTGGGTGGATTTGACCTGGCTCTGGCCCCCCTTGGTCGATTTTGATGAATGAAATCTCTTTATAACCGCTAGAGCCAATGGAATTGAGGGAAAGTTCTATACACACCAACACGTTAACAAATAAGGAGTGAGAGTGACGCGTGACCAAAACCGGAAGCTGCATACACTCTGGTGGCTACCATTAGCAGCTAACTTTTTCGCTCCGATTTTTACATAGAAATGGAATTATGGATTATAAATAATTTTGTCAAAGGCACAGATACATTATTAACCTATGGATCAACAGTTGTAGCCTTTTTTTTTCTTTTCGTTTTAATGCCATTGAACACGTCTTTTGATCAGATTGACAGCTACGGTGAGACGATCTCCCGTAAAAACTCCGTAAAGGTACGTGTTGTGATGTCTGTGTTTGCTTCCCCTGCCGCAAGTTTGGATCGCTCAGTGATACTATACCTATTATAATCTGTGGAGTCTCAGCTTTAATCGGATATATTGTATGTGCAGCTACGATAAGTAATAAGGGTATCTTTATCTTGAGTTGTGTGCTAAAGTGCGTTAGCATTTTTTCGCTTAGTGCTAATTCAGAGGCTTGAGATTGGCTAATTCAGTTAGCTGAGATTCTTCCCGTTAATCTGGTGCTACACATTAATAGTTTCATAAATGTTAAGAAGCCCTGAGACATTGTCTCGAAAAAAAAAACGGTGGGAGGGGTCCAATGGGGGGAGCGTCGTCCTTAAGAGGTTATTAAGCGACGGAGCGGCGACCCTCTGAATATTGTCATATAATACAGACACCAGACCCCTGTCACAGGGATCCATATTTAAACAGTCATCAATCCAGGTACTCTGTGGGGCTGCTAGAGAGAAGTGGGTCCTGACATAACTACATATCTGCAAATATCTGAAGAAACATGACTGTGGGATATTGAAATCCTTCTTTAACTGTTCAAAAGAAATAAAGTGTCAATTTTTTTAAAAGATCTTTAACACACCTAATCCCTCTCCCATGCCATAACCGAAAAGATGGATCAGTGAGAGATGGAGAAACATTTACATTTGCCAGAATTGGGGAAGCAATAAGTGCCTGTTTGTGTTTGAAATGAATTCTAAACTGAGTCCATATCTTTAGAGAGCATTGGATGACTGGGTTATTCGTCCAGTAGTTTTTACTCAAGGGTAGTGGAGCGCAAAGTAAAGAGCAAAGTGACACTGGATTACTTGAATGCTGCTCCATTACAGACCAAACTGGGGATTCGTCCGTCACATCAACCCAAAACATCAGCTTGTGGATGTTGGCAGCCCAATAGTAATACAAATAATTGGGTAAGGACAAACCACCCTCCCCCTTTGGCCTTTCCAAATACTCTTTCCTAATTCGAGGTACAGCTTTATTCCAAATAAAAGTGGAAGTGCATTTATTTAATTCCCTAAAGAAGGATTTAGGGATGAAGATTGGGATTGCCTGAAACAGAAATAAGAACCTGGGCATGATCGTCATTTTAACAGAATTAACCCTGCCAGCTAGTGACAGGGGGAGGGTCGACCATCTCTCCATGTCCAGTTTAGCCTTATTAAGCACTATTTTAAAAATGATTGTCCATCAGATCTTTGTATTTGTAAGTGACACAGACACCTAAGTATGTAAAGCTGTCCTTACACACAGAGAAAGGGAAGTTCTGAAATGACATTTGACGTGCTTTATCATTTATGGGGAATAGAACACTTTTACTCAAGTTCAATTTATAGCCCGACACCCGGCCAAACTCGGCGATAAGTTCCAAGGCAATAGGTATAGTAGCATGGGGATCCGAAAGAAAAAGAAGAAGATCATCCGCATAGAGCGACAATTTATGCATTCTCCCCCCCTTTGCACTCCAATTAGACTAGCGGTCTCTCTTAACAGTATTGCCAGGGGCTCCATAGCAATATCGAATATCTGGGGGCTCAGTGGACAACCCTGTCGTGTCCCACGAAAAAGTGGGAAATAATGAGATATTATCCTATTAGTTCGAATTGAAGCTTTAGGCGCTGTATAAAGGATCTTGATCAGCCAACAAAAATGTGATTCACACAACAACGGATCTTTATTCTTTTTGAGTAATAGTGAGATAGAGGCCTGCGTCATAGTTGGGGGAAGAGCCTTCCTAACAAGGACCTCCTCGAATACCTTTACTAATAGCGGCAGTAGTTTAGGGGCAAATTTCTTTAAAAATTCACTTGGATAACCGTCAGGGCCTGGTGCTTTTCCAGGATTCATTTTTTTAATTGCGTTGTCAATCTCTGTTAAAGTTATATTTCTCTCCAGTCCAGATTTGTCTGATTCATCCAAGGAGGGCATTTCAATTTGACTAAAGAAGTCATCTACTAATTCCTTGCTACTGCCCCTGAGGTGTACAGATTCTCATAGAAAGACTGAAACTGGGCATTAATGTTTTTTTGGTCTGTGACAATATTACCTTCCTCATCTTTTATTGCAGATATAAAACCTGCTGTTGCTGACTGTTTAAGTTGATGGCACAAAAGCTCCCCATGTTCGTAGAAATTAAAGCGTGATTTTAAGTGAAGATCTACAGCGCCCCCATTGGACAGAGAATCAAATTCTGCCTGAAAGCGATATTTAACTGAAAATACTAGGGAAATGTTTACTCATAATTTTTCATCCACACTCTCCCCTGCTAACATCTCAGTAAATGAGCTAGTAGATCATTTTAATTCAAAAATTAAAAATGTTATAGATACCATTGCTCCAACTACGGTAAAGGAAGTGATTGGCAAGAAAATATCTCCATGGAGAAAGGCCATGACCGTGAGAACAGAAAAAAGAGAGTGTCGAAAAGCTGAACGTAGGTGGCGAAAAACAAATCTCCAGGTTCACTTTGAAATCTATAAAGAGAGACTTGGCCTTTATAATTTGGAATTGAAAAACGCACGACAGTCTTTCTTCTCTGACATCATTACCAAAAACAAAAACAACGCACGTGCCTTGTTTGCTACCGTCGACAGACTAACTAACCCCCCAGTGTCAGTAGCCTCTGAATTTCTATCCACCAGGGCGTGCAATGATTTTGCCTCCTTCTTCACTGACAAAATTCAGAAAATTAGACAAGCAGTCAGTGCCTCTGCATCAGGTACAGCAAATGTGTTGTCCCTATGTCCACCTAATATCAATTCAAACACCATGACACAATTCCATCAGATTAATGGTAAAAACTTAGAGGACATTATTCAACTTCTGAAATCCTCCTCCTGCTGCCTTGATATTATTCCAACAGGATTTTTCAAAGATGTTTTTCCTTGCATGGCCTCAGATCTACTTCATATAGTAAACACATCTCTTCACTCAGGTATTTTTCCAGAGGCCCTGAAAACTGCAGTCATTAAACCGCTCTTAAAAAAGAATAATCTAGATGCTTCAGTAATGAACAATTACAGGCCAATATCAAACCTGCCATTTCTAGGTAAAATCATTGAAAAAGTTGTATTTCAACAGTTGAGTAACTTCTTGCATTTAAATAACTGTTTGGATGTGTTCCAGTCAGGATT